TAAGATTCCCCCTCCCCCCAATTTATGATCCTCTAGATTAAGTTTTATGTTTGCATAGCAATATATTTATTTATGTGTTTATTTTCATGTTACCCATTTTTATTACTTTTTTGCAGTCATCTATGTTAGGCTCTTTCTCAGAATATATTCTTCTCTTTTGTCATGGAGAAGTGTGGGAAGCAGCTTAAACAGAAAGTCCCATTATATTCTTGTAATTATCAATAATTTGACTACCACTAAATTATCAATTTGTAAAACTTCACCATTTTTCATCTTTCAGAGTACCACTTCCTTTTTTTTCTAGAACACTGGCTCTAGTGCCTTCACTGTTATAATTTTGAGACCTCGTCACTTCCTATACAGTTGTCCCTCATATTCTAAGAACCCAATAGTCATTCATTAATATGCCCTTCTATCTGATGATGTAGTCCATAGGTAGTTTCTCTACTAACTCAAAGTTCAAATCTCTCTGGGGTTCAAATCCAGAAGTGATTCTGAGGACAAAGTCCTTGTATGCTATTTATAGCCTTAGTAACCCACTGTAAAATCAGTTACATGTTAATTCCAACTTGAAGGTGTTAAGTTATTTTACTTAGATATTATGCCATTCTGGTAGCCTAGTGGCAAGAAGCTGTGCTGCAATCCGGAAGGCACATGGTTCAAGACCACCAGCCTCTCTATGGGAGAAGGATGAGCAATCTCCTCCCGTGCAATTAATTGCCTCTGAAAACCTGCCAGAGGGTCAGCTATGTGTCAGTTCTGAGTCTTAAGTACAAAACAACTCCTTGAAAAATAACTCCAAAAACCTTATTCTTCTCTTACTCCATTTCATTTGCCTGGTAAAATCTGCTGCCAGATTAAATATGAATAGTTTCTCTCTTTTGCAGCCAAAAACTATTTAGGAAATTCACACCACTCTGCAATTGCTTAATTTTAACTCCTTAAACAGAAAATTTAAGTGTGTACTTCTAGAAAATGTTCTTTATTGCGAATTATTGGTGAACTTAGGAAGTTCACCAGTGCTTAATTTTAGGAAGTATTCTTTAGCTGTAAGTTGCTGATGAACCAGTAATTTCACTAAGACATATCATAGTATTAATAAATTTTCAGAATTTTTTTTCAGCTCTCTGAATGTAATTTCTACTACTTATGGCTTACAACATTGTAAAGATTATTCTCATAACATTGCATTTTATTTTGAGATCTTTTTACTTAGTTATGGAGAGTTTTATTTAAACTTAATTGTCCTTCAAATCAATGGGAAGTATTTTCCTTGCTTCACTTACCTGCTTAGATGGTCATTGTTCAGACAGTCTCTCAAGAGAAAGGTTTATATTTTTGGTTTAAGCAGGTACACTAGCTGAACAAATTTTTTATTGTGTGAGGATGCCCAGCTGAGGCTGTGAGTGGAAGCAGAAATGCAGATTCCATTTAACTCAGTATTTTCTGCACCCCAGTGCTGAGTTATACCTTATTAGAGGAAAGGGAATCCTTTTTGCTCATAAAAGCATCCTATACCACCCTATTGCATGCTTAGAGAGCAGTCTGCACCATGGGAAATGTATATCATAAGAAGAGAACTGACCCATGCTCTTACAAACAGAACACATCTGCATTTTCACTTATATATCTGTCTTCTTTTCTGAACCACTACCGCTCCTACGTCTAGCTTTTCTCTTTGTGTATTAATCCTTGTAGCCATCAAGGCAGTCATGGTGAGCCTTGTACCCCATTACCTGCATTACAAGTACTCCTCTTTCTACTGGACCATCAACATAGATACATGGTTTAATTTCTTCTGTCTTAAGTCAAAGGCTCCCTTATCCCTACATGCACCTATATCTATGACTTTGCTTCTCTACTTCCTATCAGAGCCAAACTCCTCAGCAAGATCCTTCAAACAAAAATCAGCTTATTGGGCTTTATTATGCTCTTCAGAATTTTGCTCAAATGCCATCTTATCAGTGAATTCTTCCCTATCAACATTATTTTAAATTGCTATTTCTTTCATTCCCTAATTTGTCATCTTCATAGCATTAAAAGAATCTCTTATGTTGTATATATGGCTTAGTTTCTTCTCTTAAAAGGTATCAGGCTGGGTCAATCTCTCTATATTGATATCTTTTACATTATGTGCTCAAGATCATTATTTCAGCCAGATATAAGAATTAATTGGTATAATGTGTAGAATACTGTTTCCCAATCTACCCATGAAACTTATATCTGACTAGAACCTTAGAATGTGACTATAGTTGAACTTTTTAGATATAATGAAGTTGAGGATTAGTATAATCTTATTGGGTTAGTTAGGCTGGCATCTCCTGTTGTGCAATTTACTGCTTCTGAAAACTCACTGAAGGGTCATCTTTGAGTCAGTTTTAGTTCTACAGCACACAACAACTACTGTCTTAGTGGTAAAGGTATGCCCTGGTAACCCAAACATATGTGGTTTAAAATCTACCAGCAGCTCTATGGCAGAAAGATAGAGTATCTTCTCCTGTGTAATTTACTCATATTTTTGTCAGTATTTTCACATCTCAGAGTACCACTAAAGTCACAGTGACCTGTGTGGCTATCTAACCAGCATTTCAGTGCAACCACCAACAAGAAGCTATCCATATTTTCCACTAAGAAATAGTTTTAAAATACTTGCAAAATGTTTTAAGTTACTAAATAAATAGAGAATTCAAAGTCATTAAAATTTTGTTCTAAAATGCAATGAGGCTATCCCTAAGTATGAGGCAATAGATTAAACAGTT